TACCCCCTATACCACCCCTATACCCCCCTATACTCCAACCCCAAGCCCCCCATCCCCAAGAGTTTCTCAGCGGATTTGGGCTGTACTCAGCAAGCGCAGTACAGCCCCCAAATCAGATTTGGGCTGTACTAAGCAACTCGGATTTTTTTATTTTTTTTTCACTGGTCGGCAATCGACCGGTTGGCCCAGCTGGTCGGCTGCAATACGGTCGGCGGCCGGCAGGGATGCAACCCTGGTCTGAGGACTTTATCTTTATTCTGCAGAGCGCCGTAAGCAATGAATTTGTGCCAGGCCTTCAGAAGCGATGTGTACTGGGGTCCAACAGGGTCAGGTGGTTTCTTTTGGTTTTGCGTGTTTAAATGGTCCAACCCTTTACCATTATCCAGGCTGAGTCATCCATGCCGTGTGGGGTCTTGACAGGAATGAGAAGTCTTATGCTGTGAAGCACCATTCTGACCCATGAGGGTGCCTTCCCAGAAGCAGTTTGATGATCCATTTCATTTGGAGCACTATGGATTCTTGTTTAGGGTCAATTAAACCCCAGGCCACCTTCTTGAGGTTTCCTGACAATGTAGAGCCAGGCGACCTTGTTAATGCAGGATGGTCATTCGGGATCGGCCGTCCAAATGAAGCACCTGACCCTGGCTTTCAGTGTTCTTTTTTTATCGTCATCAGGGGCGCCGCCAGGCGGGATGGGGGGGGGTTGGGGGGGAGACCAGATAGATTGCAGGTATAAGAAGGTGGAGAAATTACAGAACAAACAGAAAAAAGGAGTTGCAAAGAATTCAAAAGAAAAGAGCAGCTGGAAAAGATCCTCCCCAATTAATCCCACCTAGGATGTGTTAATGGCTTGTACCATTGCCAGAATCCAAGCCACATCATTACAGTCCCCACGACTCAAATTCACCACCAAAATCATACCTCCCATTAAAATACACAAGAGAACGACACACCCCAGCCTTGTGGCTGAATGGTATACACATGTACCTGTTCATACCACAGATTATGAGTTTGAATCCTGAAGCACACAATAACGTTTGGGGCTCATCCCTTACAAAAAGGAACAAAGAGAGTGACCCAATCTCTCACCTTGTATGTGTGCCAAAAAGTGCCGTGAAGTACCTGCCTCGCATATCAGAAGGAACTGGTGGGTCCTGCAAAATAGAAAAGAGGAGAAGAGATCTCAATTTCATTCGAAAAACCTTGAACAGGATTGCAACTACCTCGCAGAAAAGGCAAGCATGCAAGCTCATACGCGAGGTGGCAAACGTAGTCACACTGAGGTTGCAGGCAAGGAGGCCAGAAAACGCAGAAATGTTCATCTGTTCGTCCCACGGCTTGGAACACACTCTCCTAATGTGAAGACCTCTGGTCATGAGATCACATAGCGGTGCCACGTAAGTCAAGAGGAACCATAACCTTCCCCTACCATCCTCACTGCCTCATCTCATCCAGAACCTTCATAAAATACCTTTCCATCCGGCTTTCAACAGGAATCATGGATGACGGCCACAACGGACAACAAGAGGCTCCAGAGTCCAAAGAGCGCCAGAGTTCCAAAATAATCCAAATCTCCAACTCGTAAACGGTTTGAAAATTGAAAACCATTGACCAGTTTGTGACACTGAACAACATGCACATTTTTGTGAACACTCTATCCTACCTTGAACTCATTCTACACTAATTGCTTCCGTAAATAAAAATTGCATGGGAGTGTTATGTTTTCATGACTTCGCCTCACAGGTTATCTAGTTTTCCCCACACAGTGACTGGCATGGGAGCAGTAAGTAATACGTGGAAATCTATGGGCTTGGGCCAGGTCTGTGCGCGACCCTTACATGCGGGTACCTATGGGCTTCCATTCCGAGGGTACGTATCAACGTACTATTTGAAAGCTAGAGGGTGTGCTGTACCCGAGTGAAGGGTGTGCTCGAGTCAAATGCTGCACAAGATGCATTGTAACTCAGTTGCAGGTCCGCTGTCTCTGCATATGATGCAGAACGAGCTGCAACTGAAAGGGTCCTAGCCCCTCCACATCCTCAGGTAGTAGAGGGTTGAATGAATGCAACATTCTGAGCCCCAAAAGCCGACAGACTAACTATAGTTCGAGTAAAAGTGACTGAGACTGAGTTAGGGGTCGATGAGTCCATCGGCAGAGTCACAGTCAGTCCACAAAAGGGTTTCCCTCCGAGGGTGTCCGTTCAAAAGTCAAACTGGCCTCAGAAGATCGAAGATTTGATTAAGGGCCCAAAACACTTGGCCTCCAGATCCTTCCACGACGAGCCACAGTTGGCCCCTTAGTTCACCCTACACATTCCATATCCATCTGGACCTTCCAAAGCAGGGCACATCATCCATCCATTGTGTGCCCTGGCAATTCAGAGTAGATATCCAAGGCCTGCCACATGGACTCGCTCTGCCACTTGCTGGCACATGCAGTGAAACATTTAGTGTGGACTCTTCCAGCGTCCACCTTGCCAATAGGGTGTCAGGCCCAAGGCGCCATAGGTAGGACGTAGAGGGGGCCAGGCACCATAGTCAGCACTGTCTAGCGTGGTGAGTAAGGGAGGGCACAACACTATATCAGGAGTCATGACTTAGCTTGGAGAACGGGGAGACCAGCAGCCATCACACATCATCAATATCACGGTTACTACCCCTTTCGTTTGGTAAAGATTAGTGCCAGGGCGGTCTGACCAACCAGACCGCGTTTTGCTAATTGGGAAGTGGCATTTTCTGCCGACTCGTTTAAATATCCTTATGACATGAGTATTTAACTTAACTTTTGTCTGCTGGTCCCCTCATCCTGCAAGCACCACATTTTCAATCAAGCAAACTAGTTACAAGAAGTTGTGACTGCGATTTGATAAGTCTTCCACTCTACATTATTGCACTGAAACTTTGCCCGGTTCCTCAGTCTGTTTATCTAATGCCGCTTACACTTTCTCCACAGGTGTGTAACGGCTTTCTCCAGAGGTGTGTAACGGCTTTCTCCACAGGTGTGTAACGGCATACTCACACTACGACTTCTGAGCGGGGTTGGGAGTGCAAGGGTACACTCACACCAGGGCTTCAACGCATGCATCTGACCTCGTCTATGGCCACTTCAGGCCATATTCGCTCCAAGAGGTCCTGCCGTCTTCACCCAAAAATAACGCCCGGGCGTTATATTCAACTTACCCTAAAAATATGGGATTTCCGTTTTTACTCACTTTTTTCAAAAAGAACGCCCAGGCGTTATATTCAAATAGAACACCCGGGTTATATTTGAACGTTCCATGGGCAGAGTGCCTTGAAGAGGTAGTACACATGGGTTTTAAGGCGCGGGGAAGGGGGTATACATGGGTTTTGAAGAGGGTTGAATGGGGTTTTGAGTTCCAAGGGCTATATTTCGGCTTGATTTTTTGTATTTATTTTTTATTTCCGAGTTTATAAGGAATTCTGAAGTGACCCTCAGCCAAAAGTTGGTCGCATTCCAATCCTGGACAAAAAAAAAAATTACAGAATTTTTTGATTTGTTTTTTTCGGAATTTTGGGGCCTCACCGAAGTTACCACAAATTTACTGAATATAACGCCCGGGCGTTATAAATGAATATAACGCCCGGCACACGTTATCCTCATACACAACGCCCGGGCGACAGTAGTATGATTATGTTGTAAAGGCCCACAGAATTCTGCAGTATATATTGATTTCTGTCCTCATTTGAGTTCGTTTCACCCAGCCATATGTGTTTGAAGGTCATGTAGCGAGGTAGCTATGATGGGAGAAAATGCTCACATCATTCCCGTAGAATAATAACTTTGTGTCCTACACCCATTACGTCAGCTGCTAGTAAAAACCAGTGCAACCTAGATGACCACTCTCGGTGCGCTGGAATACAGGCAGCAATTGGCATAGTAGTTGTGGAAGGGTTCAGACAACCACCCTCTGAACAAATTACCCCTTCTCTGCTGGTGTGCTAGAAGGTGGGCAGGATTCTGCAGAAGTCCAAGTAAAAATTGCATCACTGCAGCCCTACTTGCGAGTTCCCAGCACCCAATTGCTCAATCCATCGACCACTTGGACAAACCAAGCAAGGAACAAAAGTGTTGCACCTATGGCTGGTTCTTCCACTCAATACCAGGGCAGACATTCTCTTCACCAAATAATTCCACTGCGGGCATGAGGTTGGTATCGGATCCGAAATGTGTTCGTTCCCTGAGCTAGACACGAGTATCGGTTCAATTTAGGCCGATCTGGAAGCCCGCAGAAAGAAAGAACGGGAGCAATGTTGCATACCGTATAGGT